ATAAAATTGCTTCTGAGAAGTTATACATTTTCATATTTAAGTTATTTATATTAATTAGTTGAATTAATTCATTAAAACCGTCTGCACGACATGCTTTAGATTCTTTTTCTGATAATATTTTCTTTCTTCGTCTAATTTTCGGCAGTAATTATTGGTATCTTTTTAATCTATAAGACAAACTGACCAAACATTCTATATCTTTTAGAAACAGGTCATAAAGTGTATTCCTATCATCGTCAGTTTCATTTAATTGCAGAATAATTGAAGAAAATGATTTTTTCTTTCTTTGTACAGATCCACAGACTCTTTGTTAGAATTCTAAACGTTAATATCGAGCATCAGTTCATGATTAATATTGGATACTTAATGCTATTTCTAGTAATAAAATATATGGCGTTATGTTTATTTAAATCATCTTTAATTAACTTCTAAAGAGTCTTCATTTACCAGATCTAGAGTGAATATCTTAGTGTTTTTTTTATACGGAGAAATTACTATTCAATTTAAATTAATTACATTTACTCATTATATACGTTATGCGGTAAGTTTCGTAAGTGTCCGAATTTCGAAATGTTTCAAGGAGTTCTAATGATAAATTTTCTACTTACATTCATAATATATTTTAAAACTTTCATTCTAAAGCCAGTAAAAATCTGTATTGTTTCATCTTTTTAGTAATTAAAAAAAGAAATTTAAAAAAATCTTCGGGAGAAATCATACAAAGTGAAAAGTTATTTTTTAACGACTATTTGTATTCTTCAGATAGAAGTGAAAAGAAAACTATGTGAAAATGTTGAGGTCTGTTTGCTAGTTTAGAGTTTTCTGCAAGTCAGAAATCCACTAATATGGAAGAGATGATGGGAGCTTAAGTGAAAAATCTTCATGATGGAGAATGTCAAATAAATGAAGTTGATTCAAGGAAACAGACTTTGCATTTGAATTTTTGAAGAATGGAGTTGACAGAAAAGCAAGAAACCGGACATAGTTCTACGGTCTAGAAATTATTATAATATTACTTACGATAATAATTGGAAATTTCAAAATTAAAATGCTTGTAGGTCGTTGCTAATTTAGTATTCCAGTTAAATTGGAAAAATCAATGTACCAAAGAGGAAAGCACATTAGAACATTTGACAGTAAAACAATTAGTAGCACAGGGAATGTAAACCCGATAAGTCAAGTTAGGACCGATAAAATTGCAGATACTTCTTAGGATTTTGTCAACAATTTGTAGATACATACAGATGTATCAGACCAGATATGGGAAAAATTTTCTACTTAAGAAGGCAAGCTGATAATACTCAAAACCTTATTTTATAATCACTAGAGAATGTAGCAAAAGATTAACAAGTTACTTATATTACCTGGCTATCACACGTTATCTATTCGGCATAATTAGATGTTTTTGTTTAAAAACGTTGAGGAATCTAATAAGCAGGGAGCACAATAGTAGCTTTGTCCATTCTTTTCGCTGGGATTCATCTAAGCATGCAGGATAAACATGATGTCTATTACACACATACAAACACACACTTACAAATATCTATTATCATCTGAATCTCATATAGAAAAACTAAAATCATTATCCGATTACTTAGATAAAGCAATATTCACTTTTTCATTTAAGCTTCAAATTTGTTATTTTCTTGGAAATGAAAATGAAAGCGTCGTCGTTTCTTGAATTCAGAACGACGTAAATTGTGCTAACGTTTGTTTATCAAGTCATATGCACGTGAATCCTGATTAAACAATGCAAATCAAACACAAAAAAATAATTTCTATTTTTCCGCATATTTCATTATCTGATAAAGTTTTTATAAAAATGAAAAAGGGTTTGATTGACAAACGTTTCCTATTTGTTCATTATCTTACCAAATGAAATTGTATAAATGCTCCTAAATTATACATACCACTGTGGTGTATGTTATTTAGTCAGAATTCTGCAAATGCTGCTCTGAAAATATATCAATCCTCACTGTTCAAAATTCCCCAAATGATTAAAAATTGATACCTCACCATTGAACTGTACTCATCCATGTCACAAAATCTAACGACACTTCAGATAAATTTTGAAATAGTTAATCTTCTCATGGAATCCAACATGTGTTCATCTGCATAAACCGTCACTGAGTCTATTTATGCCTTGCCCATGAGTCATATCAAGTTATCAAATCCTATTAAACAGAAATTAATCTCTTTTCATCTTCATATTATGAATTCTGATTATTTATGACAGATCTATTTATATAAATAAAATCTGGATTCCTCATTTCTACATTATCTGCTGTCATCGCTAATACAGGTTTAATTCAAAAATACATTACTGTAGGTCCTGGTTTTTAAACAAAGAAAAATGAACGTGTATTTTTTTTCAGTAATAGTTATCTGTTCCTTCATGAAAATATAAGTTTAATTTAGAAATAATGGTCGAATCAACTGGAGAAAATGTCACTATATAATATTATTTCAGTCATATGTGTGATTACGTTAACTAATAAAGTTGAATTATATATCAATTATAATTAAAAGAATATAAAAAAGTAAAAAAAAATATGACAAAATGAAAAGAAAATCACATTAATATCAGAATAATACCATTAGACAATTGTTGTGATATGGCAAGGCGTATTTCAAAATTCAAATGAAAACCATCTGTTTATATCTCAGGTTGAGACTGGAGTTATCTAGATAACTATCAACTCAAGTGTTTTAGGAAAATGTGTATTGTAAAATAATCACTTCTCTCTCTCTCTCTCTCATTTCTCTCATTTCTCTCAATACAGATATAGATAGATATAGGTGCGTGTGTATGTTTGTTTCCAGATAGATAGAAAGATAGATAGATATGTTTGGGTGTACACAAGTGCGCAGCTTATCTTTGAAACAGTGACAAAAACATATCGAAATGTCTGTAGCTTAATGAAAAATTAAAGCGTTCATTTTACACAATAGGCTTTTATCATCTTATTCCTGTCAACGTATGTAGTTTAGGAGCAAATATGACTCTCACAGAAAAAAATGAATACAACAAAAATTCAAAGATTCAGGTAATTATATACCAGTCGAAACTTTTATTATCACAGTAAAAAGTGTTTCATAAATTTTCGTGCTGGCGTAGTGATCTAGCCTCACAAAAAAATATAGTTGTCTCCAAATTTATTCAGATGCTATGAGGTAGTAAGGGCCTAGAAATTCTCAATAGCTCCTCGTTCGTTTATATATATTGGATGATTGAAAATTAACCCCATATTTTATGTACGATATAGTCCTGATTTAACACCATGTCACATTTTTTTTTCGTATTTTTTTGTCAAGATTTTGGAAGAAAATTTAGGGCTAATACAAAAAGTTATGTCTTCCATACTTCACGTGGATCTGGTGTAATCAGTTGACGCGATTTCTGGGCGGCGAAATCTGTTGACCATAAAGAATATTTTCCAATAATATTTTTATGATAATATATAAAACAATGATAATAACAATGTTGCAATATGAGCTCTGGTAAAAACATGAAATGATAACTGCAAAATTGCAATATGAGCACTGGAAAAAATGGTTGCTGAAGATATTAGGCTTATAATACCCAGAAATTCATACCCAGATGTCCTCAAGGCCATATGGCACAGTGGATAAAGGCGTTGGTTAGATCCATTGACAAGACCCAAAGAGTGTGAGTTCAATACCCGGTTAAATTAACAGGAGATAATATTGTTACATCCATCAAACATGGCAGGTAGAACTAGAACAGTCTACCACAGTGAGCGAAATGAAGGGTTCAGTTCGACATTCCAACCACCTGAAGAAGGCCGGAGCGTTCGAAACGTTGTGATAAATATGGCGACAAAGATGAGGACAATAGTCCGAATAATGTAAATAATGATTATATATATATATATATATATATATATATAATCAATAAGTTAACAAACAATAGTAACATAGCTCTATACACGCACTACGGTCTATTAATTCTAAACCTTTCTACAGCAAAACTATAGAAACAACAAAAGTATAAAGAATAAAATCTTCAAAACACTATGAGTAAAATTTAACCAAAAATAATTTTCTTAAATTTCTTAGATATAACATTCAACCTAAACAAGCGAATACACTCATATTGCAGAACAACCCAATATATATTAACAAAAATTCCAGCCGAACCGCCACCCCTATCATATTCAAACAAATATAGATTGTCCCTCCTCACCTTTCTTAATTACATGTTATTCTAACCACAGCTCGTCTTTCTGTACTTGACAAATTGTTCGGACAAAATTTGGCTACAACTTGCGACACGCAAGACATGTTTTCCACTCCCCAACCTATTACTCTCTTCAGCTATGATTACAATCTCACTGCCCCACACCCCCACTATAGACCTGCCTAACGCTTTTATACCGATCAAAATTTTAAATTTAAGTTTATTTTCATAAAATGTTTCGCACACCGAGGAATCAAACTGAGATCGGTTTTTTGGTAACAGTGTGATTTCCAACAGAACATATACCGTCTACTAAAACATCTGTCGGTGAGTAAGTTTCTTTGTTTATTTTTTGGTCCGTTGATAAAGGACACAGTCTTGTCCGAAAATTCCGAAATTATAAAATTTATTTCCGTGCTTCATTTAGGCCATATTATAAATAATTAATATTTAATAAATGCTTATCATAATGATTATATTAACTAACCTATATATATATATATATATATATATATATATATATATATAGTAAAATTAAAATCAGAGCGAAAAGAGTACAATTCCAGCATTCGTAACATTTAATTTTAAAAGGTATATTTACAAAGTAGACCAATATTATTCATTTTAATATTGCAGTTGTGTTTCGATGTGTATCAATTCATTTCATCAGGCGATTGTAAATTACGCATCGAAAATACTTCACTTGTGTATCTATTTTGACATGTTTTCAATGCAATTTCTTAAAACAAATACACACATGCACACACACACACACAAATCTCTCTCTCTATATATATATTTACACATATATATATATAGAGAGAGAGAGAGAAATTGAGAGATAGATAGAAGCGAACAGAATGAGATAGATAGATAAATAGATAGATACATAGATTCGAACAGAATAAGATTGATAGAAGTGAACAGAATGAGATAGATAGATAGATAGATAGATAGATAGATAGATAGATAGATAGATAGATAAAATCGAACCGAATGAGATTGATAGAAGCGAAAAGAATGAGGTTGATAGAAGCGAATAGAATGAGATAGATAGATAGATGGAATAGTTATATTGGAATTTAGATGCATGAAAATCTTCATGAACCTATTGCAGAAATATCAAAGAAAAGGCATGTCAATAACTGCGTGACATCGTGTGGCAATTATCCGATACGAAGAACGCTACAGCACAATGTATCGAAGTTTCGAGTTTAAATATTTCGGACATTATTCAGCTCATGTATCAATCCTTTCGCTCTTAGGGCGGAATGGCGATACGTCGGCGTTTTCCCCGATAGTTAACTGTTTGATTTTCCAATCTGCTGTTCAACGCACGTATTCTGGCTCTTTAAAAGAGGGCGCTGGGCCGGCATTTCAGGGGAAAATGTCGAATATAGAAGCATGAAAAAAAGCTAAACCGAACTCAATATTGAGATTCGAAAAGATCAAAGCTTATCAGACGAACAATAGTTCTCTACCTCCCCCAATCTCTCTATGCCTCTCTCTCTCTCTCTTTCCTACTTTCTCACTCCATCTCTATAAAACTCTACTTCTCTCTCTCAAATCGAATAGCGATCCACAGATAACTAGGCAAATGTGGTGAAAATATGTCTGCTTATTAGATCAGGTTGAAAATTGTTGCGTTCCACTTTTGCACAAAACCATTCATCTTCAGATTCTTCAAGAAATTCAAAGAAGAATTAACGGCCATCATTCAAGCCGTTCGTCGTTTCTACAATGTTGGTTTTGATCTCTATTTTTTCTTCTTATCTCGTTTATTCTTGATTCGATCATTTCTTTTCTCCTTCTTTCCGGATAAATATTTTAGCTTTTTTCTTCTATTTGTCAATATTTTTTCGTCTTCTTTATTTTCTTTGTAACGTTGTTCTTTCTTTAATCAAATCGTTCAATGTCTATCCACGAGAACCTTTTCACAATATCTATATTTTCGATACCATTTTTTCTTCTCTCACTGTTTTGTTTTGATGAGGATACTTAAAGGTAAAAGTGATACTTTTCTTTTCTATAATATTTCCTTCGTTTTCTGGAATCTTCTTCTTTTCTTCTCATTCAAAAATATTTCTTTATTCTCACCTTCTTTAAATAATTTACTTGTATATTTCGTCTGCATTTTTCTTCTCAACATTTACTTAAACATACTCAGTCTATCTTCAACGCTTTTCTTTGTTTTTCGCTTGCCATTTACTTACTATTGGCTGTTATTCTTACCTTCCTGGGTTTTCGCTTGTTTTTAAACTTTGTTCTTTATCTAAGTAGTTCTATTTTTCTTTCTCCAGTTTCCAGTCTTTCTTTTTCTTCTATCTCCTTTTCTTCTCTATAGGCTTTATTTTTCAATGCATTTTTTTTAGATTCATCCATTATTTATGAAAACGTACCATGTGATTTTATGCATTTGTCAATAACTCTCCCCACCAATATCCACTGCTATCTTCACTGGTCTGTGCATTAGATTTGCCACGTGACATATTTTGGTCGATATTGCGCCATGGAATCAAATCTCTAGGCGAATACTTGATATCATCTCAGAGAAAAAAATATAGAAATAGAAACAAGACGTTTGAAATTTTGTCCCAAAAAAGGCTGATTATTACTTATACATTATGTAGTATCGATATACGAGGAAATATACTCAAGATCCTTAGTAATATTTAAAAGAATATATTTTAGGGATATCATAAGTTATGCTACCACTACTGTTTATCCAATACAAGGACCAAGAGCCACTCAAGGTAGAATGCTACTAAATAATATTGTTGTATACGTGGAAGCAGGTATAGCATATTACTTGGATATGTAAGATAGAAAGTAGTAGGATAAAAAGCAAAAGTGATTATGGAAGTATGCTCTTGGGAGCCAGTTCTATAATGTAACCGTTCTGAGGAAGGACATTTCTTAGTGGAACTTCCTTCATCTAACTCCTATATTTCGAATGATTGTTAGTTTTATTATATCAAAATCTTTAATGGTAAACTGGTATTGAACAATATATGTGCCTATTTAATTTGGATATTTCATTTTGATAAAAATCAACCGAGATATTAAAAGCCAGTGATGGCGTCCATTTTATTAAAACAAAATGTTTCAACGGCAGGTAAAAATCTGGTTTCCTTTTTGTATTTATAGTAGAACAAGCAGCATAAAAAGTTGTTTTTTTTCTGTTTCCAACTGTCTTTTTTCTGATTTACATTATAAGTGTAATTTTTGCTTTAATTTTCCCCATAACTTTACCGTTGATTACATGTTCTAAGCAGCTTCTGTAGAAACATATTTTTGTTATCTCAAGTCTCTTCTTGATCTGTGAGAAGATTCTCCAGCATGCATTATTACATTAGAGTTTTGCAGACTTTTCTTAACACTTGATCACAATCACTATTCCAGTGCGTGCTCAGTTCTAAATGCTTCATTTAGAAGTCTCTAATTCCCTTTTCGAACTTGTCCCTTATCATACATAATTTCTAACCAAGCAAGGCAATGATACATCTAAGAAATAGAGCCTTACTGAGTCAGAAAGAATATAAGAAAAAAAAAACCTTAAGGTGACACAACAATAAATACAATCATTAAAAAGACAGAAGATAACAGAAGAAATTGACATTTTTGAAGATCGATCTTGACTGGAAAGTAAGAAAATGAAAGAGAGTTTCACAAGCGTGAACTGTGACAAAAGAAATCGCTACAGTTAAATTTAGTCATTTCAACTGCAAAATGATGAGAGCTTGTCGTCACTCTAGTATTGCACTTAAATTCATAAAGTCTACGTAACACACAGCAGAAGAAATACGATGAAAGTATTTAAGTTTTAGTCCTTTCTTCTCGTCTTCATTTTCCAGCTTCTTTTGAAGCACCTGTAATGTATTTTCTGTGTCTACTAGCAAAACTAAGCTAAGTGGTCAGCGATAAATGAATCCGTGTAGTACTGCTAATTTCATCAGTATCGCGTGAATTTAAAGTCCTGAAAAAGTCTGAGAAGACACAACATTGTCGAACGCCAATTTTATTTTTGAGTTTTTACTAAAATAATTTTCTATCCGTATGCAGGCGGTATTACTTCTGGATTATTCATGTATAATTACTAAATAAAGAAAGACTGCATAGTAGTTCAAGCAATTCATTTTAAGGTCATTTATTAAACTCTTTTGTACAATTTATAACCTATAATTATACATACTTTCGCCTTTGTATTTCTCTTTCTATTATCCTTCTGAACATATATAAGATTTCTTGTGTCAAGGAGCGCAGTCCATCTAACGTCTTAGGGTTGAATGATGTTTTGAATGCGAACTACTTGATTTTCATTACTTGTTTGTTATTATTTTAAATGGAAGGAAATTCAAAAATAATTACGACACACGATTCAAAATGAATAAAAATTTCTAGAGGAGAAAACTTTTTTTCCTTTTCTGCATGCTTCTAATTATGGAGCCGTTGACTTTACAAATTAGTCTGTCGAAGTAGAAAAATACATAAATGAAGATTCCTTCAGTAATTAGCGAATTGCCTGATGCAAGTCATTTTAGATGTCATATCATCGGTGAAAATATTTTTTTTTAAACATGTCAAACAATCATTTCGCTGTCTCTTGAGGTTACATCTTGTAAAGTAACATTAACAATGATTACTATTTTTAAAAGTTTCAGTTTCACATATGTAATTTTTAGAGACAGAAGTAAAAAAACCTTTACGCTAAGAAATGTAATTGCCGTCACCTTAAAGAATTTAGAACACATTGATTCCAAGAGAATAAAATTAGACTGTTTGGGATCGGTTTCCTGCATATCAAACATCGTAGTGTTGTGTTAGCTTAGTAAACACCTGGATTGTCAGCGTCCCAAAATTAGTGGCACTAAGATGGCAATATGCATATCAATTGTTTTCCTTTCGCTAAGGATAATATAAGCGCTTTATTTATTTTTGAAAGTGTTTGAGAGCGAAAACAAGGATTCGCGAAGATTAACATTATTCTTACGCTTTTTTGATGAGACAAGAAAAAAATAGAGGCAGAAATAAAATAGAAAGTTGTGTTTTCAAAACTCTTGGAATAAATATATACGAGGGTCATTCAATAAATAAAGTTATTTTTTCGGTATAGGGACTTCTAATACAGATAGAAGCTTACTTTTTTAAAAAATCTTTTGTTTTACTTCTTTTTCACATGGATTTAATTTCTTTTGCAGATTAAAAAAAAACTGAGAGTTTTGGCGATTAACAAAGATGGCCGACCAAGAAGCATGCTCCATGTTTGAACAGCGGTCAGTTATCAAGTTTTTGGTTGCCGAAGGGTGCAAACCAGTTGAAATTCATAGGAGGATGTCAACTGTGTATGGTGCCACATGTTTCAGCCAAAAACTGTCTACAAGTGAGATAATTGTTTAAAGAAGGACGGAGCAGTGTTGAGGATGAAGACAGGCCTGGGAGGCCTACAGAAGTGAGGTCCCCCGAGGTGATCGAATCAGTCAATGACCTCATTCAGTCTGACAGAAGAACTACTGTGAACTGCTGAGGCAGGTCAAGAAAGACAAAGAACAATCGCAGGCCTCAAACAGCAGCCCAAACGATGCAGACCATCAACAAGCTGGTCTGGGAACTGCTCCCTCATCCCCCTTACAGCCCAGACGTTGCCTCTTCAGAATTTCACCTGTTTGGTCCCTTGAAAGCGTTCACGAGTGGCACGAAGTTTAAAAGTGACGATGAAGTCAAAGGTGTTGTGAGCGACAGGCTGAGACATCAGTCCAAAGATTTTTACGCTGAGGGAATACGGAAGCTTGTGCACAGATGGGAAAAGTGTGTGACAGTGCTGGGAGACTATGTTGAAAAAAAAAAGTAAGCTTCTATCTGTATTAGAAGTCCTTATACCGAAAAGTTCACCTTATTTATTGAATGATCCTCGTAATAAAGCTGAAAAATAAACAACATAATTTGAGAATTATCAAGAATTCTAAAAGAGAAAAACCGCGTACATAGAAATATTGAATTATTTATGAAACGCAATATGTCATTCTGTAAATATGATGTTTAGTATAATTCAACTGATGAATAATTGCTCTATGAAACTACAAGTACATACACATGCTCACAAGCACGGAA